ACTGGAAAGGCGCTATACAAGTCCATTTACCATGATAGTTCAAAATGAAATAATGATATCATGTAAATCATACACATATGATCATATCATCGATAATCCAGCACCACTTAAATCATTTTAGTAATACAGTTAGGATTACAGATTCTCTCTTCACCTCCTTACACTGATATTTTGGGTGTAATTAATTTGCCAAAAAAGAGACAAAACACACAATTGATAAAATAAAAGATGAATTTGACTGCTAGCATCGGCATCTTTCTTTTCAAATGTTCAATAGATATCACAATATTATCCTTATGGTAAATTATTTGGGTCACGATAATCACAGCCTTAGTGGGCAAGAGCAAAACTAGCTGTTTCCTTAAAAAAAATGAGCAAATAAGCGTACAGTGTCCTTTTAAGACATAACGTGCCATTAAGCAGTGATGTCATGTACTGTAGAGGTTTTCTTCTTCTAGTCAAAGAATTGTATTTTTCTTCACTGATATGTCCGCCATGTCGTTGTTGTCTTATAACCACCTCTTCCTCTCTGTCCTGCCTCTCCTCCCCCTGATTCCAGCAGCCGTTCCTGGAAGTAAAAGTTCTCGAGACGACCAAACGCTCTCGGAGGAACCTCGGCCTGGACTGCGATGAGCACTCCACTGAGTCTCGCTGCTGTCGCTACCCTCTGACTGTGGATTTCGAGGCGTTCGGCTGGGACTGGATCATTGCCCCCAAACGCTACAAAGCCAACTATTGCTCTGGCCAGTGCGAGTACATGTTCATGCAGAAATACCCGCACACCCACCTGGTCCAGCACGCTAACCCCCGAGGCTCTGCAGGGCCCTGCTGTACCCCGACCAAGATGTCCCCCATTAACATGCTCTACTTCAATGACAAGCAGCAGATCATTCATGGCAAAATCCCAGGGATGGTGGTGGATAGATGTGGCTGCTCTTAGGCTGCAGGGGGGACGCACACTTGTGTACAGCCACCATCCCATCAAACCACCCAAAACCCTTACGGAGCTCTCCCTTGGCACCAGAACCCACTCCTCGGCACCAGATTTCACTTTTGCTCAGCCACAAAATCATCTCACTGGGTTTCCATTTGTCCAGTAACTAAATTGATTCTAACTGTAAAAAAAAAAGAAAAAGTTATGAATCAAACATGAATCAAAAAAAGAACTGAGTGATGGAAATACAGTACATTATGAATAATTAAAGAGGTTGTCCTTGTGGAGCAGCTTCAGAAAAAGGTAAATGAGACAAAACTATGTCATAGAGTACGTGTTAGTTTTGTGGGTTTTTGAAGTTGTTGTTATTTTTAAATGGCATCTTTGTCCAGGTTAGTGGATTGAGATGACGGGAGACATAAGCATTTACAATAATTTTAAAGCAATTTCAGTTTGAAGGTGAGTTTGGAAATATACACGTATGCTTACTTACGGGTGAGATTTGATCCACAAAAATGTTTGCACGGGGGCATTATCAGAATTATTTTGTAATCCATCACTTTAACAAAAAGAACTAAACCCATGCTAATATGAGGAGGGTTTACCTTTAGAAATACTCTTTGTATAAATCCAAAATCTTGTTTACAGATGCTTAGAGATGTGCTCTAGAGATGTAAAGTGTTGAGGAGTTCCAAAACCAAACCTAGACCCTCTATTAATGTATAACACTCCAGTGTGACATTCTTGAGTATCTATGAAACCTTTCACAGGTACTTTGATCTTTTTTTATGTGTAGTCTTGTAAAACTCAAAAAGAAACAGGGAGAGAAGAGGTTATACTATTTTCACTCTGTCTTTCAAAGCGGATAAATAAAGCCAGTATAGCTATTTCTGCCATTCTGCAAATGTAGATAAGACATATTTAGGTTTCACTGCGACACTAAAGTCTAAAACTAAGTACTGTAATGTAGATGCATCCTGAAGTTATTTTGCACCACCTGGGAGAGGAGGAGGCGCAGGATCCTGCAGGATGACACCAATACATGTCTTTCACTTTAACACCCTCAACTTTTGCATTAAATGTTTAAAACAGAGAAGTAAATTCACAGTTTCATAACTTGAAGGGGGCCTAGGACTGAGCACGTAATAACAGACAGGAAGCTAAATCCATACCCTGAAATACGACATACGAGGGTGACGGTAATGCTCAAATGTTCCCCCTGCTGTGAATTATTGAACTGAAAATAGCACAACACAGGATCACAGGATTACTCGTACTTACAGCAGTGTTTGCATCCGTGTTAAAAAGTACTTTTGAATTTAGAAAGAGCAGTAGCTTCATTACTCACAAAGTTCATTCACTTTTTCTCAATGCTAGTTTCAGAACAGAAGAACATAAAAATCCTTTAAGTGCAGAAATAATGGCTTTTATAAATCACAACAGACCACAGTACACGTTCAGATCAAGACAATGTAACTCAACAACTGACTTTTGTTTAGAGAACATATTTGATTGCTTTTTGAAATGCCCCCATTCATCTCCACCTCGACTTTGTCGCCATCATCATAAAATATTGTTAGTGCTTGAACACAGAGTAGATTAGTAATGCTTGAAGTCTGTCTTTGTCTCCTGGATGTCAAAGCAAAGATATCCTTTTGTTGTAAACGAAAGCACTATGCTGTTGGATAAAGGAAGAGCCTTCTGACACTATATATAAATGATATATGTATATATTAAAAAAAAGGGATACAAAAACCTTTTTTTGGGGCACTCTACCTTACCAACAATAAATTTTGCACTATGGGACGTTCATGGCGTGAGGAGGTAAAGTGTTGTTTGTGTTTTACCAAGCACAAGAGAGCTTGTACAGTATAGGATGAAAAAAAAAGAAAAAAAAAACTATTCAAGCTTCTGGTGATAAACCATGAACTAGAGAGGTTATCACTTCTTGTTGATACCATCACGCTTTCCTGACGTTTGTCTCAAGCGGGGGCCTGTCCATACACTCACACACTTTTATCCAATCTGGAACCTGGACTTACTGTACCAGCGGCCTGAAAGGCCTCCTTGCCCACTGTGGGTGATAAGTCGTATGTATAATAAGTGTCTGGATCAATGAAAATAGAATGCTTTAACTGGAAATGGCCCACCCACCAATTTTAATCTGTTACCATGTTAGAGAGACTACGTCCTTTTGACTGAAACAATGTGTCGACTGTCTTGCATAGACATGTTTTTGCCTTTGTGTGTATTTTAAGTGAAAGCACCCATGTAAGAATGGGAGGAGTATCCAGGGATTGTTAGCCAAAGTAGAGGATGACATGTTGTGTGCTGTAACTTTTGTGATCGCAGGAATATGCTAGAACATTTCAAAGGGAGGAAAAAGCTGGTTTAGGGGCAGTGGTTGGAAATAATTCAACTGGTCAATTTTCTATTTATTAATACTAATTACAATGCATTTCAAAGTCTGTCTACCTCACTGTAGCCCCCTCAAAACCTTGCTTTTTTAAATTTGTCATCGATTAATCTGTGCAAACATTTAACCAATAAGACCCCCCCACCCCCCAAAAATGTAGATGAAAACCACAGGGTCTCCTTGCTCTCAGGTTCAGATTGAGTTATTGACAGAGTGACTGATGGTAGCGGCTCTGGTAATGTGTGGTCAAAAGAAATAATTAGCTGTGCCCACATCTATGGCTTGGTGAGAAGTCGCATTTTGAATTTTAGTGTTTGTATACTGGTATGTGTGAGAGTGTTTTCATATAAATATATGAGAGTAAGAAATCTCTATGTAAATACCTACCCAAATGTTGACATTTATGATGTTTTGGACAGGTTCGCCGCTTCCAATGTTTTTCTCACTTTCCCCCTTCATTCCTCCATTCTTTGTGTAGTTTTAAAAAAAGAAAATCACCCCAACTTTGTAGTTTAATGGTTGTGCATATGAATAACTGTTCAATTGTTATTTTTGCCTTTTGTTGTTTATTTACTGTCATTTTTCTTTTGTACAATAAATCATTTATTTAGCTTATGGGATTTGTTGTTTATTTCTGAAAGTTCTGATAAACCCACTGTTCACTATAACTGCTCAGCACCAAACAGAAGACAGACACATTTAGCAGCTAGCTGGTAAACATAGTGGAGCACGTAGCCGCTAAAGAGACGTGTATTTCTCTTAGGAGTTGGTGGAGACCAAAAACAGAGCTAAAAGAGGGTGAATATTGGATTTACATCCATCACGTTCAAATTCATGCTCATGTTTCTCCGTGTCTGCTACATGTGTGAATAGTCAACTGTTTGCTAACATGTGCATCATATCAACTTAAAAGATGAAAATATGTCAGTTTTGTGTTTACAGCTTGTTTCTGCTACAAATGGGAAGACACTTTAGCGAGCTGTAAGTTACAAAAATAGCAGGAGAACAAACCGTACAGCCGATTAAACTTTATTGACAATATTTTGTTTTAAAACAGGGGAAAAAGCAGAAACCTTTATTTATTTATCTTGTTTTGTTGTTTGATTGGTAGGCAAATTTAAACAGATTGAGTCATTGGAGTCAGTTTATAAAATATGCATCAAGTTTTTTATTGGAGAATATACACTCTCCCCAGGTTGCTTTCACACCTTGAGAAGCACACACACACACACACACACACACACACACACACACACACCCACACACACACTTGTAGCATTCTGATTCATAGAATAAACAGTAACGGGCAGCAGAGGTGAGAGGAAGCAGATTCACCGCGAGGCTAATTGGTGAAAGAGAGCGTTCGGAGGACAAAGGTTTAGTCTTGGGGTTCAGGTTGCCATTATTTGGATGTCATATAAAATCCAGCCTGACCCAATTAATATGCCACCTGATAGAAGGGCCTCTCATCAACCTAATTTAGAGAATCAATAGGGGACAAATGAGAGTGAGAATGAAGCTCTTTACGGATGCAAACAGACAAAGACCACCCAGTACAAGCTCGAGGAGACTGATGCCAGCAATGACATAAACCTTTTGACAAATCCTCACTTGACATAAACAAACATTCACACAGTCCCCTGCCCCTCAAGTGCATCAATGTGCGGTACACATCATCCGTCATACCCACCCTACATAGACAAGGGAGGACATTGATGGATGTTTTTATTGTTTTGGCACATAAGGAGTAGTTGTACAAGTTGTACGTGAAGTATGAGAGGCTTTAGAAGCTTTAAGACTAATAACATGATGAACTCTGACCCCGCTTCATTGATTAATGACTGAGCTGTGCCATGGAGGAATTTGTGGAAGTAAAAAAAAGTACAGTAGAATTGGAATATTGAATATTATATAAAGCCCTCAAGAAAGGCCAGTGGGGGCTGAGGGGATCTTTATGGCAATTATAGCCATACAGTTAAGAAAGAAGGTGAATTGGAGGCAGCTCTCAATAGTTTCAATTGCTGGACACAGTCATCAGTAACACCTTTTTGTCTGGTTCTTTGACTGACCGCTGTGTAGAGAGGGGAACTGTTCAGGGAAGATCACACACACTGAAAGAATCTCACATGACAATAAAATGAACAGTGGAGACACAAGATTTGATTTTCGATGAGTTGAAATCATCAACAAGGAATAATTGTGGACTATGTGGATTATAGCTCATTAAATTTGTTGAACTCTGCTGTACCTCAAAATAATGAGGAATAATATGTTAATTTCACCTTCTTAAAGTGGATATAAAATCTAATTTTTGAGTAATAAATACAACATAAACATTACATCTTAAAAGTATCTCACCTGTTTCAACATGGACATACTGACTCACAGAGTCACGGAGCTATCACTAATATCTTCTCTCCTCAACTGAGTTGTCGTTCTAAACTTCCAACAAATGTGTTGTTTCAAATGCAACATAAGCTCTACTTCATTTAATTGATATCTTGAATACTTTTTCTCTTATGCGTCAGTCTGGATTTATTTACCAGATCATCTTCAGATTATAAATCAGTTGTTTTGCTGGTATGCTTTTTTTTTTTACTTGTGTCACAGAAAGCACTCATGGAAAACACCACTGTCACATCCCTATTTAACGTAGCACTTAATGCTATTATTAATTGTGTTGTACTAAATGCTGTCATGATTGGCATTAACTTACCACAACTCCAGCATAGTGTATAGAAATAAATGTGCTAAAACTCTGGAATTAATTTAAAAAAACAGGCTACTTTGAAAATATTTCATTCATGAGGATCCATTCTCATTTTATTTCACCTGTAGTGGAAGTTGCAGCCATTAAATCAGTTTAGGTCCTGTTCACTGCGGTGTTTTAGTGTCTCTGTGAATGACAGCTGTCACTCTTTTGTTCTCCTCGTGCACCATCTGGTTTGAAGCTGACAATTACTGCCATAGATGGTGGTGAGGCGCAGTCCGGTGGGTCCGACTGACGCTCCTGCTTGCCTTGCAGGGGCACGTCGCGGCACCGTCCCACAGATCTGAGAGTACCTGGGGACAGGATGACCCTGGAGGAACAGTCAGGCTAAAGAGGGAAGCAACAGAGGTCTTAATTATAGTCACATCATTTTGGTTTTCACTATTTCTATACAGTGGGGCCTTTTCATTCAGATGAAAAATTAAAGATTCAGCAGTATTTGAACCTGTGTTAAGAAAGATGGACAATAGTGCTGGGTAAACAGATTCATTCCAAAATAATGGAGAGACAAGTTTAGTCAAAGTTTGATTAAGATTAAATCTGTCTAAATTAAATCTGGCATTAAGGAACAGAAAGAAATCTTCTTTTGTGTTTTAATGTGAGAATATAAGCATAACTTACACCGAAAGTATAGAAAAATAACAGCACTTCACAATGACTCTACCAACATCAGAAATACTTTCATAATGCAAACATGTAAAAGATTAAACTGTTGAAGTAGTTTTTAAAAAGCAACAAGAAAGTCCTGTATTTCTCATAATCTTCAGTAGCTTTCTGTTACTTTGCCTCAAGAGAGAGGAATATATTTAAAAGTGACTAGAATTATCTTATTTATATTCATGTAAAATGTAGATATTCAAGACAAAACATGATCTTAAGATATTATAATGTATTTAATCTAAAACATGTCAGAGGTCAAAGGACATGATGTTGAAATAAGAATAAATTCAGACTGCAAACATTTTTGGGGAAGATACATCAATGAGCAAAACATAAATCTTTCCCGCAGGAGTGTCGAATGTGAGAAATTAATTCTCTCTCTGGTTCACACAGGTACAGCATTCTGATGACTGAAAACATTAAACACCAGCTTCTCCTCTGCCAATACACAGCAATCTGCACATTCCATCTACTTATTTTGGATGCTCCTCACAGCATGTGATTACTTGAACGTCAGCCGAACATCTCTCTTTTGGCAACAACAGGAATCAGCCCGAGAGCCAAAAACAAAAACTTTTGTCCCACGCTGTTGTCCTGCAGTCCTGGTAATCATCTTAAACCCGCTTTGTATTTTGGAACAAAGTCTTCAATATGTTGCTCGACTATAACTGCATTTTAAAACACAGAAATATCAAAGAGCAGTGTTTTTAATATTAGAGTTGTTATTAGGGGG